GGGGGGGGTGTTGCTCCCCACTGGACCAAACTCTGGCCACAGCCCCTCTGCCGGGTGGACCCATCACCACACCCTGTCCAGACCCCACTGGGTCAGCCCTGGCCCAGGCACTAGGCAGCCAGGACAGAGCCCATCCAGCACAGGGCACCTGAGACCCCAAGGGGAGGGTGCGGGCAGAGCCGCCCAGCTGGCTCAGGAAGGCCACAGGCCTGCACCCGGGAAGCATGGGCACAGGGCCCCACCTGGGGAAACTGAGGCTTTCAGTGACCGGGTTCCTGGCAGTCTCAAAGCCCAAAAGGTCCAGGCCTGCTCTTCAGGACAGGCACACAGACACACACACATGCACAAATGTACACACGCATCCACACACACACATGCACACCCACACACACGAACACTCACGCACTGGCATGCACTTATGCACACATGCACGCTCGAGCACGTCATGCAAGTGCACACACACGTGGGGGTGCACGTGTGCATACGCATACACACCTGCATGCACGGCACATGCATAACTTGCACGCGTGCACGTGCGTGCACACACATGCACACACAGACGCTGCCCTTTCCTCTTGGGCCTGGTCCAGAGGTTGGTCACAGGGACAGGAAGCAAGGGGAGGCAGGGAGAGGCCATCCTGGGAGAGGGCGGGAAAGGAGCCAGGCCAGCATCATTCCCTTGGCCGGGTCTCCCCAGCAGGCTGGGAACCCCACCCCTGTAGGACCCCCAGGCTTGTTTCTCCCATAAGACTGAGCGTCTGCCGGCCACCCAAAGCCACACAGGACACCCCAGGGAACAGGCCAACGCTTCCGCCTGGTGGAGGACGGGGGCTTGTCAGCATGGTGTTCCCGGCCTCGGCCCCCACCCCCACGGGCCCCCCGGAATGCTGCGGAACGGGTCCAGGGCGCTGCCTGTGTGCACAGGCCGAGGTTGCTCAACCAGAGATGCTATCGATGGAAGGTGGGGTGGCCAACGGCCCTCCTGGGCAGCGCATGTGGTCAGCCGCCCTACACTGCCATGCCTGCCCCAGCCCCATCAGTAGAGGGTGTGATGGTCAGGCCTGTGGAAGTCACGTGGCGTCAGGCTGTCAGGGCAGCAGCTGGCCTGGCCGGTAGAGGGAGAGTGGGCAGGCCCTCGGGGCTAACCCTCAGCCCAGCTGCAGGGTGCAGCAGCCAGGGCCCCACCAGGAGACCACCTTGGAACAGTGGAAACAGGACATGCTCAGATGGGGGTCCAGGGCACAGCCAGGGGCAGGGGCTGCCTGGGACCACCTCCCAGCCTTGTCCTGTGTGGTGGCCGCAGGCATGGACACCACCTGCACTACACAGAGGGGGGACTCCTGCCCCACACAGGACCGGAGCCACGTGGCTAGGGCCATGCTTGGCCACCCACATGGGCTGGGGCGGTGCCCTTGGGGCCCCAAGAGGGCTTCGTGGGAGGGTCTTGAATTCCCCTTCAAGGTTTACAAACAAACCAGCCAGGGCAAAGGACGGGCTTCACTGGACCCGGGATTCCTGGAGCGGCTATCAGTCGGAGCTTCCTGCCCAGGGCACCTGGCTGGGGACCTACTCAGGACACCCACCCACCTAAGCCCAGAGTGAGAGGAGTGTATGGGGGTCTGCATGGTGTACCCCTGCACTCAGCACCTGCTCAGACCAAAGGCTGCCGCCCCCACACTCAGGGGACCAACAGCTGCCACCCCGGGTGCAGGGCACCGCACAGGGCCACCCAGGGGCCTCTGGAGGCCACACACTGTGACTGCAGTCCCCTGGCCCTGGCCCTTCCCCACCCACTTCAGCGTGGGCACCTCCCTCTGAGGCCGGCCCCCAGCCTCTGTCGGACTTCCATGCCTCCAGTGTTGACTGCCGCCCCCACCCACCCACCAGCACCTTGCTGAGGTTCTGCACTTGGGGCCCCGGGTCCCTAGAGGCTGCAAACATCCAGGCCCACCAAGGGCCCACCTCCGCCCCACACTCCATCCACTGCCCTCACCCTGGACAGGCTGGTCCTGCCTCCAAGCCTGGGGCCCTGGCCTGCCCTGCCTGACCACAGGTGGCCTGTGAGGCTGGGGGCAGCATGTGCTCTCTCACCCC